CTATTTTGAATTTGTTTATTATTTCATTCTTTTATTTTTTTTATTTTTTATTTTATCAAGTCTAGTTCAACTTTCATGGGTTAACCATGCAAATTTAAAATGAAAAGAACGTTGACTAGCCATCATCTTGTTCAGAGGTTTAAGTATAAGAAGAATGAAGTAGTAGTCTTTAAAAAAGTCACTATGACACCCTCTAGTCATAGAGATGCCAACAATCAACCTAACCATTCATAAAGAGAACCATTGTATCCAATATTCATTAGTTTGCACTCATTAAAGATGTCACCAAATGCAATGTCTCCTCCTTGTAAAGAGGCTTGAAATAATTAAAGTGGGTGTATACTCAATAATTTAATGAAACAAATCTTATTATTAGTTATCATAGATTAAAAACTATCTTAATTTTTAAAAAATATTCAAAAGCTATAGTTTATTTATTATTAAATATCAGTGCTTTTGAATTATTATTTTCAATATCAAAACAAAAAGCTTCATTTGAAGTTGGATACAAACTGCGACCCTAGTACCCGCTGCACCAACAATTGCACTCCCTGGCGAGAGCGACACACAGAGGTAGGTTTCATTCTCCTTTGAATCTGTTCCTTCACACTGTCTTGAATCTTGGCACATTCCACAATAGCTCCATTCTTTAAATCAACACACAAAAGAGGGTTTGTGTTCCGATTGAATGGCGAGCGAAGAGGAAAACAGGGAATTCTACCTGCGTTACTACGTTGGGCACAAGGGGAAGTTCGGGCATGAGTTCTTAGAGTTCGAGTTTAGACCCGACGAAAAACTCCGTTACGCGAACAACTCCAACTACAAAAATGACACCATCATCCGCAAGGAGGTTTACCTCACCCCCGCCGTTCTCCGCGAGTGCCGCCGTATCATTGCCAAGAGCGAGGTAACCCTAACCCTAAGCAACTCGTTATTGTTGTTTTGAAAATAACTGATTGATTGTGCAGATTATGAAGGAAGATGATAACAACTGGCCAGAACCTGATAGAGTGGGGAGGCAAGAGCTGGAGATTGTAATGGGGAACACTACAAAAAAATCAAGTTTTAGCTACCACCAAAAT